GGCATCGATGCCGATTTGAGAAAATAAACTTCGAAATGAAGTTTTCGCCATATGTGTAGCGCCCTGGCGCCAACCCGTTCTCGAGATGGGATCGAGCCCGCAAATTTGGGAAAACTTTTTCCCGGGCCCAAATTTAACACTGCCTGCTCCAGTCCGGCCGTGCCCTGCGCCGGCGAATACCTGGGGCGGGCACAGTGGGCCAGAAGACCGGTGGAGGCGGCCAAAACTCTAGACGCGTTTTGAGCTCCAGAGTCGCTAAATAGGACTCGAATCTAACGTCTGACCCCCCCAAATGATTCCTCGTTCGGACAGCAACCTTTGGGGGGGGCACACGCTCGGTCGAGCCTCATTTAGCGACTCTGGAGCTAAAAAACGCGTTTTGAGTTTTGGCCGCCTCCACCGGTCTTCTGGCCCACTGTGCGGGGGTCCGGGGCCGGTGGTGGCGCGACGTGCGCTGGATCGCCCCGGCCGCCCCGGGCCCCGGGCCCGTTGGTTGCGTCTGGCCCGCTTGGTCCCCTTGGCCGGCAGGGAGACAGAGAGAGAGAGAGAGAGAGGGGAGGGGAAGAGGGGAGAGAGAAGAGAGAGGGCCGGCCACCCCGTTCCGGGCCCAAGCCAGGCAAAAGCCAGTTGCGCCACGATCGCGAGAAAGCGCCATTCGTACCTGGTAATCCAAGTGTGGGACAGGCATGCACTAGATAGCGTGGGACAAAATGTCCCACGCTTCCAAGCGTGGGACAGTTTGTCCCACGCTTGGAAGCGTAGGACACAGTTTGTCCCACGCTTGGAAGTGTGGGACAAATTTTGTCCTACGCTTCCAAGCGTGGGAAAAATTTTTGTCCTACGCTTGGAAGCGTGGGACAAACTGTGTCCCACGCTTGCAGGCTAAAGATTTCAGAGTGGCGTATTAACCTTATCCTATCAACGGCACATAGTCTGTCTTTGTATTCACTATTGATGGGGTCAATTAAAAGGTTTCAAAACAAGAAATGATACTTCATTAGTGATTGAGTGGTTGCTGCAAGACCAATGTCGAAGGCAACTAACTAATAAAGATGCTTGCTCCATGAAGCTTCCCACATACAATACATCTAATCTGAAGTAGGGGCAAGCAGAACTCTTACTTACATTTCCCTCCAAAGGCAGGTGTTGGTAAAACTCCTTGACACAAAGGCTGGAGCCACCAACCACAGTTGAATGGCATGATGAATTTCAACAGCAGTAAGTGATGAAAGCCATGGCGTCGCTAACCCTTCGCTGCAACTTGGCACTCGAAGTTGGGTCTCTGCATCTCCATGGCACTGTCCCTTGACACGCCACGTCGAACGCCACACTGTTTCTAGTTCTTCCACAAGCCGATTTTAGTAAAATCATTCCTAAATACACCAACATTTTCACATTTTCAAGCGACCGGACGACAGAGTAATGTTTGAAACCACACACAAAACAACTATCAACAGTCAATTGTTTTTGTACGGTGTCTGCTGGAGGATGAGAAATCGTCAGGTCAGATCAAGTTCTGCCGGCGGGATTTCTCATACATAGTGGCGCGTACCGCGGAACGGCTGGAGTTTAAACGTCAACGTCTCGCCTACGGTTCATCAGCTGATCATTAGATTTTCACAATGGCAGGTTTGCAAGGAAGATTTCTGGTAAAGTTCGGGCCGAGGCTGAAAAGGATTGAGGTTGCTTGCAATCCGGAAGACCCTCCTTTTTTCAAGAGTTTAGAGAACTCAATCAGGATGGCAATGGAGAAGGATCCTTTTATGAAAGTCCATGCCCAGAGTGGGTTTTTCATGATGCAACGAGAAGAGGCCACCGGTTTGGACGTAGAGATAGAACAAACTACGGAATTTTGGCAGGTGGACGCCGACAACCCCATCTTACTGATGCTCCACAGCTCGACGCAACTTGTGAGTATGCTCTCAGTGTAGTTATTGATAGTTTGGACTGTTTTTGGCGGCAGGGTCTGTCGACTCTCTCGCACTCATGGGTTTGAGATAGACAAAGCGGCGATGTGCGGAGAGTCTTAGCGGTTTCCTTCCCTGCCGCACTCATGGGGCGTCCCGTAGGGGCGCCAGTGAGATGGAGTGAAAAAACGAAAATTCATCCTTGAAATGCTCGGCTGGTTCGGGCACAGTAAGGGAAAGGGGGCGGGGGAGGGGGAGGGCGTGCGCGCGAGAGAGAGGTGCTTCTTTGCTTTTTGTCTCTAGTAGCCTCTAGGTGAGAATAAGGGTATTTTTCATCTTTTTATTCTAAGCTTATCTGCCGGATAGGGAGGAGCTTGTACTGAATAGCAATGTGAGATTTAGTTATCAAAGTAGCAATATTTGACTCAAAATCCTGTCTTACTTATCGCAGGAAATTCCAACTCGGCAACTGCAGGTGCAGACTCAGGCTCAGGCTGAGCCAGTTGCCTTGAATTCCAAAGATATCAAAAGAAGCTACTTAGACAGAATTGGTAAGCTTTAGGCATTGGTTAACAATAATGAGATAAATTGCAAATTGCAGAAATGTAAAAATAATCCTTTATTTAAGGTGTGCGTGTTCACAAGGACCCTGGGCCTGGGACTCCATCTGCAGTCGAGCCTGCAGCTGTGGCATCAACGTCAGGACAACAGCCAAAGCAACAGCCAAAAGCACATCAACTTCCAAAGCCAGCTGTAGTTCAAGCAGCACCAAAAAGGTGAGCGCAGACGTATAACTAATTTAATTCACAATCAACTTCAATAATAATTTCATTAGCTTTTAAAATAATTATCAGTGAACGTTGAATCTAAAAAGGAACATTCATACATAATCTAAATTCTTCTTTAATAATAATTGTTCAATCCTATGTGCATTTCAGTCTAAGATTGCAAGAAGAAAGGCCTGAGCAAGCTTCAGGGTAAGTATGCTCGCTCACAGGTTTAGTTCAGTGATGTTTAAATGTCAAATATTTAGTTGGCTCTCTCCTTGTCCATTTCTAGCAGTAAGAGACGCCGCCGCTCTGAATCACCAGAAGGGGACTACCTGGAATATGTCTTGAAGAATAGAGAGGAGAACGCAAACCGCCTCAGGCAAATTATTCCGGAAGATGCACCTAAGCTTCGCCCTGCAACAAAAAGAAAGCAGAACAAGCAAGGTAAGCTACCTTGAAGTAAAGAGTGATTTTTTCAAAATGCAACTAATTTTCTCTTTTCAGGAAAGGAAAATATAGAACGTCGTGTAATGCCAAGGCGAGCTGCAAAGGACAAAGCTCAGTCCGCTCTAGATGAAGACATTACTGAAGATAACACGAATGAGGAAGAGGTTGAAATGAATCCACAACCTCAAGTACAAGGCCCATTATCAAAAAATGTGGTGAAATTGGTTCAGGTATGTCAGGATGTTATTTTGAAGATAGACAAAAAATCAAACAAGTCACAGAAATTTAAAAAAAATTCTTACTCTACAGGTGAAAGTAGTAGGAAATTTCCACAAAAAGAAGGTAAGATATTGTACTACAACTGTCAAATTTCTAGGTCACACATTAAATCATACAAAAGTAATTTCTCTGTTGTTATGTCACCAGGATCATAGACCCATTGGGAAGATTATAACAAAATCCACTCCTCTGCCCCCATTTACAAAGGAACTGAGACAATCTTTAGAGAATGGTATTTATAATACCCAGTATATGAATTACTTCTTAAAGAAGCATGTGGAAAATGTTACTGGAGGTTACTACCTTAAAAAATCAGAATACAAAATACTGGGACAACAAGTAGCAAGCCGATTAAAATCAATGAGAGTAGAAAACCCTGAGGGATACATTGTGAGTAGAGCTTGAGGAGTTCTTTTTTTTTCTCTCAATCATACTTTTATTAACAACTAATTTTCTTCCTACAGGGTAAAATAAAAAAGGAACTCAGTAACAGCTTGAGAAGCAGTAGATACTACCCCAAAAAGAAGGCAGCGAGAATAGCAAAGAAAAAGGCTCTACGTGCAGCTCAGCGAAAAGCAGGGGAAACTGTTGAATCGTAAGCATAAATCAATACTATTACTTTTATGCAATACTTTCTTTCAGACCAGTTAATTTTTAATGTTCTCTTACCTTATTTGTGCCTTCAGAAGTGATGAAGAAGGTGAGGGCCTACTACTGGAAGAGCAAGGTGAACCAGATGAAGCAGAAATCATCCTGCAGAAACCTGTGGTAAACAGACAAAGCATTAAGAGGTGTATTAGTGAATCAACTTATAGGATTCGTTTCATCAAGTCTAATCCAGTTGACGTAGTCCTTGCGAAGTATCCTTATTTAAAAGAAGCTGACTTGGTAAGGAATGGCCATAAATTTTAACTTTGAATCAAAAAAGTAAATAAAGTAATAAAATCTTTCCTGTTACAGCTTATTTATGAGTACAGCACAAGGGTACCTTTACCACTGACTGATTTAGAAGCTAATTTCAATGAAAGTCTCCTTCCGCTATCCCACATTTTGGACATTCCAAACCCAGGATATGATAACGAGCTAGCCAAATTACAACTTTATCAGAAAATAGAAGAATTTTACAGTGGAGGAGAAAGCCATTTGCCTTCCATTCAATTTTGTGAAGTGAGTATGAAACTGTCATATCATTATTATCATTAATTATCAAAGCCAATACTGTTGAGGGCAAGAAACAGATTATCACCATTGTTTTGTCTTTTAACAGGCAGCAAACAGGAATGCCGTTCCACTAAATGAAGTACCTCGAGGCCAAGCCCCTGCTTTGGTAGTAGTCCAAGATGGCAGCAAGGACCTCAAAAGTGTATCTTTGATTTTTGATGGCGGGATTTTAACAACTTTGGCATCCAACCCGTCAGCCTTTGAATCAATTGCTTTGTTGCTAGCAGGATATTGGGTATTTGATTTGCAATTTCCTGCACCTTACAAGCAGCATCTGGAATCTTTCGAAGCTGTACTTCATGACAGAGTAGCAGATGTCTCCAGAAGTGTCTCTAGGTACTCAAAAATGGATGAGTTTTTTAGAAAATTGAAACTTGCTTCAAACAATTCAAATTAATTATCCCTCCCCCCTAGCTTGTACAAATGTACATAAGTCAAGATACATTATTGAGTTATTTTTAATAACAAGAAACTATGTTGTGTTTTTGCCATAATTTTTCTTTCCATTAATCAACTGTTGTTCACACTATTTTATACTAAATATTTAGGAACTTAATTGTCTTCTTACCAGAAAGTTTTCTCTCCAAATCAATTGTTAAGAGTTGAATACATAATTGACTTGATTGCACATAGTGTTTCATTGTGAACCTCCGTGTAAATAATGAAGTTTTTCAAATCTGTATAGAAGCAAGAAAGCATTATAAGATAGAAATAAAATTATGTATAATAGAACAAGAGAATCATTTCTTCATCAGTGCAATGCCATGCTTCCCAAGCTTCACTTACCAAGTGACAACAGCTACCAAATGACACAGCAATTTACAATAACACCAAAACATCACATAAAGGTGAACACTGAACAACCTCGACCCTTTTCAAAGAGCTGCATCTGTGCACCATCTGTAAATTATAAATAATAAGTTCAGTTCAGGATGGCGGGCTACAAAAGAGAAAAAAAAAGCAACAACATACCTTTACCACTTAAAAAGAAGCCAATTGATTTGAAGAGGTGAGATGAAGAGTCTCAGGAAACTGCAGGTTGAAGTGGAAAAAGAGAATTTCCTCGAGGACATTGTCTCTTCTTTGGCATGCGAATGCATGCAGCCAAATCATTACAGAAAGGTGAACGTTGACCAAACTTGATCCAAATCAAAGAGCTGCACCATCTGTAAATAACAACTTATTAGTTCAGTTCAAGGTAGCGAGCCACAAAAGAGAAAAGAAATGCAACAACATACCTTCACCACTTAAAAAGAAGCCACTTGATTTGAAGAGGTGAGATGAAGTGTCTGCAGACCAACAATGTCGCCATAACATTTGTCAAATCAATTCATTTACCTCTTAGTGGCTCTTGTAAAAAAACTTTGTGTATACACCATGATCACACTTAGAGAAATAAGAGGAGGTAGATTATTGTTAAGTCATTCTTTAAAATCAATGATAAAACTTAAAGTGTCTGAAAAAAGAAAAAGCAAGGGGACAGTTAGAAGATTATTGTTATTATAACTTACTCAAAATTGACATATGGAAGTTGACTCTCACCTGTTTAAAAGTAAAATAACTTGCTAGCTATGCAACCAGGTTTCCTGAAAGTCATGACACGAGAAATGGTTTGACATTGGTGGTGCCAAAATGGAGTGTGAATCTTGTAACAGGAAACTGCAGGTTGAAGTGGAAAAAGAGAATTTCCTCGAGGACATTGTCTCTTCTTTGGCATGCGAATGCATGCAGCCAAATCATTACAGAAAGGTGAACGTTGACCAAACTTGATCCAAATCAAAGAGCTGCACCATCTGTAAATAATAACTTATTAGTTCAGTTCAAGGTAGCGAGCCACAAAAGAGAAAAGAAATGCAACAACATACCTTCACCACTTAAAAAGAAGCCACTTGATTTGAAGAGGTGAGATGAAGTGTCTACAGACCAACAATTTAGCCATAACATTTGCCAAATCAATTCATTTACCTCTTAGTGGCTCTTGTAAAAAAAACTTTGTGTATACACCATGATCACACTCAGAGAAATAAGAGGAGGTAGATTATTGTTAAGTCATTCTTTAAATTCAATAATAGCATCTAAAATGTCTGAAAAAAAAAAAAAGAAAAAGCAAGGGGACAGTTAGAAGATTATTATAATTATAACATAATCAAAATTGACATATGGAAGTTGACTCTCACCTGTTTAAAAGTAAAATAACTTGCTAGCTATGCAACCAGGTTTCCTGAAAGTCATGACACGAGAAATGGTTTGACATTGGTGGTGCCAAAATGGAGTGTGAATCTTGTAACAGGAAACTGCAGGTTGAAGTGGAAAAAGAGAATTTCCTCGAGGACATTGTCTCTTCTTTGGCATGCGAATGCATGCAGCCAAATCATTACAGAAAGGTGAACGTTGACCAAACTTGATCCAAATCAAAGAGCTGCACCATCTGTAAATAATAACTTATTAGTTCAGTTCAAGGTAGCGAGCCACAAAAGAGAAAAGAAATGCAACAACATACCTTCACCACTTAAAAAGAAGCCACTTGATTTGAAGAGGTGAGATGAAGTGTCTACAGACCAACAATTAAGCCATAACATTTGTCAAATCAATTCATTTACCTCTTAGTGGCTCTTGTAAAAAAACTTTGTGTATACACCATGATCACACTTAGAGAAATAAGAGGAGGTAGATTATTGTTAAGTCATTCTTTAAAATCAATGATAAAACTTAAAGTGTCTAAAAAAAGAAAAAAACAAGGGGACAGTTAGTAGATTATTATAATTATAACATAATAAAAATTGACATATGTAAGTTGACTCTCACCTGTTTAAAAATAATATAACTTGCTAGCTATCCAACAAGGTTTCCTGAACTTCCTGACACAAGAAATGATTTGACATTGTTGGTGCGAAAATGGACTGTGAATCTGGTGACAGGAAACTGCAGCTTGATGTGGGAGAAGAGAATTCCCTTGAGAACATTGTCTCTTCTTTGGATTTCAAATGCATGGAATTTGGCTAAATAGTTCACTTTCAGGTTGTTGTACAAGAAGACTATCTCGTCATTAACAAGATAAATCTTTTCAATTATACCAAAAGCATGTTCTTGATTGCTTTGCAGTGAGACTATCACATCTTTTTTCCATGATCTTCCATGGCGGTCAAAACGGTCAACAGTAGACACTTCCACATTTAAATCCAACTCCGGAAGTAATTCAAGAATAAGATCTCTATCAGGCAAAGCTGTGAGCGTAGTTGGCTCACTCTTCTTAACAATATCTCCTGAGTAAAGGAAGGTGCCATCATCCTTACCGTTCATGATGTCATTATTTCTTGCACTTATATGCCTTGTTATTAATGAAAATTCTAGATTGATCATGTTATTTATAATGTCTACTAGGCGTGTGAATTCTCTGTGCATTGCTTCATATCTAAAGCATGCCTGCTGTCTTAACGGGCCATGAAGTCTGAGCATCATTGCTAAATGTCGAAGGGCATGAAGTTTTAAAGTTTTATACTCAGGATAGATTCGTACAAAGTCTTTCCCAAATATCTCAACAAGACTTTCCAACTCGAGCGCATCTTCTTCAGTAGCTTCATACAGCATTGACACAGCAGATATCTTTGTAAACTGTCCAAGTAAGTCCTGTTTTTCTTCTGAGATATTGTTTACTGCAATGACAGGTAGAATGTGCAGTAATACAATCATTTGAGATGCACTTTGATCTAGTTTAGACTCAAGATGAGATTTCTCAATAGGAGATGGTCTGCTCTGATGCAAGTGTCCATAGTCACAAAAGTCCTGGATGACTTGATTAACATAATTAAGTGAAACTTTAGGCTTCACAGTTGGTACCTTATTCTGTTGTTTTGGATGACTTGGATTTGCTGCTGGAACATTTCTTCGTTGTTTTGGTTGACTGGCGTCGACTTGCTGTTTTGGAACAGTGCACATGTCCTTCAACAACAATCGACAAAGGAGTTCCCCTACACCTCCCCATAATCCATGCATAATGTCATAAGGAAAGCACTTTGTCACATCAAACCCAGGGGCTTCAGCAAGAGGGCTTCTAGCATTGATACCATAGTTAACTGAGGGATCATGATGATCATTGAATACAATGGCAGGTCTTACATCTTGAATAAACTCTCGTTCCTCTTCTTCCTCTTCAAAAGTATCAACTTCTTGCCGTGATGTGAGGCTCACATCCACCATAGTAACAAGAGGGGTCTTTAACTTTTTAGCCTCAACTTGAAGCACGCTCTTCTCATGTTCATCAATTCGCCTCAAAAGGTTTTCATCTTCACGAAAGTGGTCACAGATGTCAAAACGAGTACACATACACATACGACATGGTCGAAGTGCAAAATGTGACTCTTTAAACCCACCCAGATTAGCAGCAGCAGGTATGTCCGCAGCAACAAATTGCAAAATACCATGAAACAGTCTTTCTTCACCATTGATCTTCAGCTTGACACCATCACCTAATGCCTTAATATCTTTCATGAATAACTTTAAGATTTCTTCATTACCATATTTTTTGGCTACCTTATAGTTTACAATGCCTATAAGATTGATAGCTTTCAGAGAAGACCGCAGTTCGGGATAGATATTGCCCAAACACCAATAGAACAAACGATATTTGTGTTTCAATTTCTTGGATTTGCAGGGATCAGCAAATTGAACATCATCAACATAAATAACAATTGAGAGAGTTTTGGGGCCATTCCGGACAACAATAAAATGAGCTTTGTAGAAGTAACCATCGGTTATAGTTTTGAATACACCATCTGGACTAGGTCTTGGATTGTCGACACAATGCAGGACATCTTTGCAGTTGAGAAGCTGCTCCAACTGTTGCAAGAAAGGAACAACATATGCATATTCTGCAGGCACTCTGTGTGGAATCCCTCTTCTGTAAACAACTTTCCAGTCAAACACCAACTGTTTCAACCCAAATGGCAAATCGGTGCTTTGGTGAGCAATATAAGAGTCCAGGTAAGGTTGAGTTTCCACACCAGCAAATAATGACTGTCCTCGCAGAGATTCAAGTTCTGAAAATACTTGGTCAAGCCTTAAGTGCCCATCTTGAATAGCACAATTCACTGAAATTCTTTCCTGAAACAAAGCCAAATTTAAAAACAATTACATTTTACGGCTTTACACAATAAAGGTAATGTATCAAGAAATTATCTGTACCTTGAGGAAGTCTAGGTATAAATCAGTCAAACTGTTGACCTCTTTAACAACGAAGTCAATTGCTATTTGACTGGTTCTAAACTTGCTCTTAAGTGTAGACAGAAACGATGAAGCTGCACCTTGGATTGCATATGCAGCAGCGTCCGTGGAATCTAAAACAAAATAGAAAGGTTGGACCAGGTAAGGTTAGGTGCAAACAAAACAAACACACAAAGAGCTCTTCAATACTGAAGGAAAAAACGAACCAGCCATTGTTTCAAACAAGGGAAGTTTTCATGCTTTCGACGCTTTGCGCTCAGTAGACTGCTGGGCAAACGAGAGCAAACGTCACAGTGTGGGTACGAGCAGGGCTAAAGCCACAACCCCGGCAGTAAACAACAACCTGTACATCAAATCACGAATGAGGCAAAAACGTCAAGTCAGCCAACAACTGATTTTGAAGATATCAACGATATAAAAACTATGACTTAACTGCGAACTCATGTGAACCACACGCAGGAAATGCCAGAGAGGCAAATCGGAATGAAGCCTAAAATTTGAAACTGTTGTTTGAGCCGTGGTCCTGTTCATGTTCGTATTGCAGCGGATGAGAAATAGCGCAGGCAGAACTTGATCTGACCTGACGATTTCTCATCCTCCAGCAGACACCGTACAAAAACAATTGACTGTTGATAGTTTTGTTTTGTGTGTGGTTTCAAACATTACTCTGTCGTCCGGTCGCTTGAAAATGTGAAAATGTTGGTGTATTTAGGAATGATTTTACTAAAATCGGCTTGTGGAAGAACTAGAAACAGTGTGGCGTTCGACGTGGCGTGTCAAGGGACAGTGCCATGGAGATGCAGAGACCCAACTTCGAGTGCCAAGTTGCAGCGAAGGGTTAGCGACGCCATGGCTTTCATCACTTACTGCTGTGAAATTCATCATGCCATTCAACTGTGGTTGGTGGCTCCAGCCTTTGTGTCAAGGAGTTTTACCAACACCTGCCTTTGGAGGGAAATGTAAGTAAGAGTTCTGCTTGCCCCTACTTCAGATTAGATGTATTGTATGTGGGAAGCTTCATGGAGCAAGCATCTTTATTAGTTAGTTGCCTTCGACATTGGTCTTGCAGCAACCACTCAATCACTAATGAAGTATCATTTCTTGTTTTGAAACCTTTTAATTGACCCCATCAATAGTGAATACAAAGACAGACTATGTGCCGTTGATAGGATAAGGTTAATACGCCACTCTGAAATCTTTAGCCTGCAAGCGTGGGACACAGTTTGTCCCACGCTTCCAAGCGTAGGACAAAATTTGTCCCACGCTTGGAAGCGTAGGACAAAATTTGTCCCACACTTCCAAGCGTGGGACAAACTGTGTCCTACGCTTCCAAGCGTGGGACAAACTGTCCCACGCTTGGAAGCGTGGGACATTTTGTCCCACGCTATCTAGTGCATGCCTGTCCCACACTTGGATTACCAGTGTGGCGCTTGGTTTCGCATTTCAGCCGCGCCGCCGAACTTTCTTTTGAAGTCTCTCGCGACGCCGGCTCCCATCCGGAAGCACTGTGAAGTGCAATGTGCGAGGCTCACATTCTGAGGAAGTTTAAAAATGTCACAAATTTGAAATTTAATATTTTGAGGGGTGTCCTTTTTCTTCTTTATTGGTAAATGGACATCCCCCGAAACTAGTTTTTTGGCTGGTAGTCCCGGTGGCGGTGGCTGCCATTTTGTTGGTAACTTGACCTTTCACCTCGCTGCCAGTAAGCATCCGAGTCGCCTTGGTCTTGGTCTTCATACCTGTTGAAGGCTGGGTTAGGCTCCTCCGTGAAATTCCTATTGTTGTCAAAGTTGTTGTCGTTGTTGTCATTTCTGAATCTGCAGAACTGCTCTGGATGGTTCGTTCGGCCGCAAAAACTGCACTTCGGGTAAACCCTGGCCTGGTGCTTGTTCACTGTCTTGGCAAGTCTGACCTCGAAATCATTTATATGCCTCTTCATTTCACTCTTCATTTCATTCATCATTTCCAGTAACACACTGGCCTGGTCAGAGCTCTGGGTCAGAGCGGCGCTCGCGGGCTCGGCTGCCTGAAGCGGCGCTGACACAGCGTTCTCGCCGTGAGCCGCCGTGCCGAGACCGGCCAGCTGGGCGCCCAACTGAGCCAAGCTGTTGTTGTTGATGTTGTTGTTGAAGTACAGGCCGGCCTGGGCAAACAAATTAGCAATTTGTTGAATGGCAGAGTCCGTGTTGTTCTGCAGTCGTTCCTGCCACATGGGCTCCAGAGCTTGGGACTCTGCGACCCGTGCTGGGGAAAACTCAGTCTCCGGAGAAGACGCCGAGTCACCGTTCTTTGTCCGTGACCTTGTGCCAGAAATCTGTTTCATGTGGGTCCAGGTAGCGAGTATTTTCTTCTCCAATTCACCAGGGGTCGAATCAATCCAGTTCATGTACTTGTCGACAGCCTCTTGCCCAAGCCCTTGCAAAATGTACTTGTTGATTTCAGTCGGGTCACTGACCTTTGCTTCTTTGAGGAGAATTTTCTTCTGCGACAAATAAAGCATTAAAGGCTCATTGTCCTCGTCCCACACCCTACGGAGCATCCGTCCCATTCGGTCACCAGTTTTCGCTTTCACAGGGAAAACGTCAACTAAATAATCCAGAATGTCTTCTGCGTCAGCTGTCTCGTGAGATTCGTGGAAAAGTTTCGCCGCACTAAGAGCATGGTCTCTCAGTTTTGACATCAAGAAATCGATCTGGAGAATGTAGTTGGGGCTGACCGCCGGGAGCATGCTTCGCATGATTTCCCTGAAGATTTCAGCGTTTTCACCTTGCTTACCGCTGAAAGTCCTGTCTTGGTACAGTGAAAAAATTCTTGCATGGGATTCGGCGCCGTTGCTCGGCTGTGCAGCTGCAGGTGTGGGTGCGAGTCTGGACACAGGCGGCGGGCCTGGCGCTGCGCGATTTGGGATCGGGGCGAAGGTCGTTGTGCCGCGTGCGGGCTCGCGTGGCCTGGCCCCCGTGTTCGGTCCGGCAGCGCCGGCTGGTGGTCCAGTGAAAACTTCAACTTTGGGAAAACCCAACGGTACAGTCCGAAGGAAAACATTGTCATCCAATCTGTCAACAAAGGGGCCAGACCGCGCCCGTTCGTCCGCAACCGCGGTGCTGAGTGGGCGTTGTTGCAAGGCCAGCGACCGTCGCTGCTCGGCTGCACGCGTGTCAAGTTCAAAGCCAACCAATTTCCTTGCCTCAGCTGCTTGCTTGGCCTGGAGGTCCCTAACGGAGCTTCGCAGTGCGTCCTGCTGGGCCTGGAGGACGGCCTGTGTCGTGCCCATGTCACCAATAATTTCCTGGTAAATCAAAGGTCGATCTCCCAGGGGAAGGGTAGACGAGGCAGATGGCGTACTGAACGAAACAGGGACAGGACCACAAGCTCCTTCCGGGGGCGTGTTAAGAGATTCCGCTTGGTCGGGTGTTGTTCTGCTTGGGCTAAGAAGTGCATGCTGCTGACTGCTCAGCGATTTTCTGGACCGGGTATCTCGGACAGTGCCAATTCGGATCAGAATTGACCTCAGGAAATCGGAGGGGCTTCCGCCATAAACTGCGCCAGCCGCCTCGACTTCCTCTTTGTACTGGGTTACAATTGCTGAGAGTTCATCCGTGTCAATAAGTAGGTCATCTGGACCGATGACTGTGCTTTTTGTTTTAAGAAAAACAACTTGTTCGACATCGGGGTGGCCCTTCTTAATTTCCGTCGCGAGATTTTCTAGTGCCTCTTTAGACTTAGTGCCAGGTGTCTTTAACTGTTCGTAAGCAATCTGGAATTGCCTCAAAGTTTCATGCGCTGTGTAGAGAGTAGTGTGGGTGGCATTTTTAATGATGACTTTCGGGTTGGTTCCAATCCGTTTTGTCACCTTGCAAATTGTATCAACTAGTGCGCTGACTGGCAGTAAATCGTCGACTCTTGACATTGTTGCGTGGTCAATGAGTAAATTATTGGGTACTCACACCTTTGTCGTCTTCGTTCCTTTTGTCCAATGGAGAACCAGGCTAGGTGAACCGCTTCACGCGGTGCTCACACCTTCGTCGTCTTGGAGAAACCCGGCTAGATGCACCATATCACACGTTGGCCGGGGGTTGCGGAGGTGAAGTGGGGTCTGCTGTGTGAGGCTGCGTAATCCAGCTCGCCGCGGGGTCAAACCGGGTCGAGGGATCCTATGCACTTGGTCCTCAGTCACTAGGTTTCACTGCACTGATCACTCGCGTAACCGTCTAGCCGCAGCGTGTTCTACGGGTTCGTGAAGGGGTGAAGTAACGACACACGGGTTGGTTGAGTACTCGGGCACACGCGGACACTTTCGCGGACGGGGTATTCGGCGGAGAGGGCTCAGTTGTTTCCGCTACGGTGGTTGGTAGAATACTGACTGGAGCTTCTCCCGAGTCGGGGCTCCGTGAGGGAGGCACGTGCTTAATCCCTAACATCTAAGGTGAACGCATCGGCCACAGGCCGGTGACAATCAGATTATTCCAGCACTGCTGGCTAACGCCTGATTACTAGGCAACCTATCTGCCAGTCGTGTTAGTTAGCTGGCATTTAACACGGGGCGACGCGGCCTATGTTTTCTGCATAGGCACGCGCGTCAGATAGCGCGGCAGCTAGCGCGCTGAGCGCTGCAGAGGTGCGTGCGCATCGCAGAGGCATTGACCAGTGTGACCTGGGCAGTGCGTCTGTGATAGTTCGGATAGTGGTCCCTAACAAATATCATTATGGATGTGTTGGCCTCCTTTCTCCGCCTCGTCGTACGCACTAATAAGAATCCAAACGTCTGAATAAATAAGTGTACCAAGTAACGATTATAATGCGATAATTTTACTGAAACTTCACCATTGACAGACACGACGAACAACTCTGACTGAATTCTCTGACTACGTGCACTGCCAGCAGCTCCTTAAAGAGCCCCGGCACGGTTTTTACTGCTGCGTCCACGTGTAGTTCTACAGGGCGTCCATCCGAAATCCTTTCAAGATCCAAATATAGTATGGGTGGCTTCGTCCACACTGGCCGTCTGCAAAAGAAAGGGATCTCCGCCATTTTACGGGCGATCGGCACACGCCACACTTATCCGTGGATTGCAAGCATTGTGCACACGTAAACAAATGAGCACAAGGAGGGACGGAATCTACCCCCTTTCAAAACAATTTTGCAAAAAAATTTGTCATGTGCTTTGCAATGCTCCTGTGCATTTGGCTTGATACCTGTTGTTATAGTACGTTTTAAAAAAGGCTGGAATAGTGTCTACGGGTTTAAAGTTGTGTCTGCACCTTTTGAATGTAATCTTTACCAAGCAGTCATACCAGAAAACCGCAATATGGCGAG